ACTCATTCCACATCTAAAGCTACTTCGAATCCTCAACAGGTTTCGGAGCTCTTAAAATTATTGAAACTGCGGAGACAGGAGACAGAGTCGCTTTGTGAGAAGGGCATTCTCTTCTCTACAACCAGCTGGGTCCAATCACCACCAGGGATGGAGACAACAAAGGTGCTAAAAGGCTCTTTCACAATTGCAATTGCGCCACCGGGAATTCAGGGATAAAAATGAGCTTTGATGGAGAACTGGGGGGTGGGGGGAAGAGAAAGAGAGAATCCAAACAAGGTTTGTGGCAGTCTAGCCAAAGAAAGTTACTGTCATAATGAAATGCTGTCAATCACCATGAAAATCCAATTAAGAGCTGTTCGGCATAGGCTCTCTTAAGCAGAAATACTTAAGACGTAATTTCGGCAACTCTACAAATGAGAAGAAAGTGCTTCTGGAGTTATTTAAAAGAAGATCAGGAGCTCCTCCCACAAATCCTGGGCACACACAAACCAGTTTCTCATAGTCCCCTATGAAACAGAAAATGCTTCAAAGCCATAGATGCACCCATTTTAGGAATGTTTTAAAGGTGGACCAATCCCATTACTACATCCCTTACAGAATAAGAGAATCATCCCACAGCCCTAAATTTGCACTCAGGAATATTTTTTCAAAGGCATAGCATTGTACAGACATTTATTTAATATTTATATTACCCAATGAGAACTGTAGACCCATCATGGACAGGGTTTATTTTAACGCAAAGGGGAAATGCCCATCTTTGTCCCTCTGCAATTAGTAACTGCCAATTCAATCCATCCTGTTCCAGTTGAATGTTTATTTTTATCTTTTTAGATGTATCATTAAGGGACTTGAAGGCAAACATTGTTCTCCGCACTGGGACTTGCGTAGGAGGAATCCCCCCTGAGGACTATGTCCTAGATTAACAAGTAAGTGTTGACTTTTCTGTATCAGTTCAAATATTGGCACATGGATCTTCGTAAACATTACCAAAGGACACATGGGGAAATGGTGGTGTCCTTCATTCAGGGAAAACAGCTTTCAACTTTCAGTGAATGTGGAAAGCCCTTTCAGACAGTGGGTGGCTTCTGGGAAAAGGGCCTTCTTCGTGGTGGCCCCCTACCATTGAACACTCTCAACCGGTAAGATTGCCTGATGCCTGCCTTACCTTCCTGGTGTCAAGGGAAATACTTGGTTTTTTCCACAGACCTTTCAGTAGATTTACTCCTTGTCAAATTTGTTTTATGCTGCTTTTGTTTAAGTTTTAATGTGGCTGTATTTTTAACTGATTGTTTTGTCTTTCATTATGACACGCTGGAATATTTATCTTGAAGGAAAGGGCACAAATAATAAACAATAGAGAAAAAGTAACCTTATCATGTGCTGCAGATAAGTCTAACTGCTTCAGAGGAATAAATCAGCCTACAGCTTCAGTATGCAGGCAATACTAATGCACAATGAAGTGGCTGCACAGCCATGGCTGGGTTTCAGTTGCACAAATCTGATCTTGTAGAGAAGTCCAAAAAGGGACAACAGCAAGTGTGGCTATTTTTCTGTTTTCTTATGTTTTTAGTTCAAGCTGATAACACATGTTTTACTAGCGTAAGCAAATAAAAAACCCTAAAACCAAACAGCAACAACAGCAATGATCGGATGTGAATGTATCAGTTGATTAATTATAACATAATTCACAGATTTTAAAAGTTGGGATTTAACTTTAGTCTTTTCATTCTGGTGGCATTATGTGATCAGCAATCATTATGCACTGGTATGGAGAACATTGTCCTGCCACAAAGACTCCTCTAGCAGTCTGCAGGCCTGTATGAACTCTGAAGGGTTGGGGGGGGGGAGAGCTCTTTCTAGCACTCAGTTCCACACCCTAATTCTGCCACATCAGTTAGAAATGTTTACATGCAAAGATGGAGCAAGATAGCAAAGGACTCCTTCTCTGACCTAAGGGGTTCAATTGCTGATTCCTGTCACTTGATGAATTGGCCTGCATAATAAAAAAAAAAAACAGGCTCCTCTGTCCTGTAATTACACCATGGCACCTAGGAGTTGAAAACTATTACTTGCAAGCACCGTACATATTGCAAATTTAGTTACCAACCTTGGTGGTCAGATAATTTATGCAACTACAAAGTTTTAATAGTAGGCAGGGGATACATCACTTCAAGGACTTCCCCTAGTGGTTTTAAAGGGAAGCTAACTGCATTTGGGTAGGTTGGGATTCCCACTATATAAAAAGACAGAAGAGGAATATTTTTAAAAATACAGTAAAAAGGAACAAACAACTAGCTAGAAATACACAATCTTTCCTGTAACCAAATCTAAACAAAGGCTGCATCTGCAACATTATTGCACAGGGATATCATAGAATTGCAACTATTTCCCAGTGTTTTTGTAAAAACTGGATATATTTTGCAAATCATATAGCTGGATATAGATACAGCCATTCTATTTTGTTACAGCTTTATCGCTTTGGGATAACAGCCTGTTTTGCTGGGGCAGGGCAGGGGGCTGGTGTCCAATGAAGCCACCAGTGCAGCAAGGAAAGGAATGCTGTCCCAGTTATACAGGACAATGGAGATGAGCCTCCTTTCCTTCTCCACTTGCATGTAGAGTGAGGGTGATGCTGTTCACTATGTGATCCCTGACTGGCTGGGATCCTGCAGTGAAGGAGCCTTTTCAAATTAAAAAAACAAGGCACTGAAGCAAATTCAAAGAAACAAGGACTACAGTGTGTGTGTGTGTGTGTGTGTGTGTGTGTAGTGGAATGGAATGTAAGGCTTATGAATGCCAATCCTTTCATATCCAACCCCCAAATGGCAACTTCTGCAGGACAAATCAAACCTCATAAAAATTTGGTGCAGCGTTTGTAATCTCATGCACCAATGCTTCCTGCTCAGATGCCCTCCCAGCTCACCTTGCTTCCTGCACTGCAAGGGATGGGTGAATGCTGGACTGCTGCACTGTGCTTCTCTGGGGCACAATCTGGCAGGAATCCTCGTTGGAAGTGTTTGGTAGGAGTGGAGGGAGAAGAGGAAGCCCTTGTGACTGAGGCTAGAAAAAGAGAGCCAGAGTGCCAGGTCTTGACTTCTGTGGGGACCAGGAAGGAGGAGGAGGAGGAGTGAAGGCTAAGCTGCCATTCTGCTATGGGCTGAGCTGATGGGGTCCTGCAGCGGAGGGTGCTTCAGATGAGGAACGGCCTTAAGAAACACTCTGGTTTGCTCTTAACTTTCTATCAATAGTACATGCTTCACTAGGAAACCCACCAAGGGACCGCAACAGCATCTGAAAAAACACAGCCATGCAAAAGCCCCAGAAAACGGGGCCATCTTTTTAAACAATTCTCAAAAGCAGGCCGGTGCTACTGGGAGACAATTTCCATGTTAGCATGCTTGCTGAAACACTCTCTGCCACTGAACAGCGAGAACAGATAATAACCATTAGTAAATCAAACTCCTTGGCAATATCCAGCTGTGCCTCGCACATTTACATACAGATAGAATGGGTATATGTTTTTAATATGTATGCGATAACGCACTTTCCCCACAGCTGAAGTGTGTCTTACAAAAGGAGGAGGCGAATGGGAACGCATTGCCATGAGATAATAAAGTGACCTAGATAAAGTATTAGCCAGCGATTGATCTCAAACAGGGGAAGGCTGCCTCTCTCTGACCCGGTTACTTACTATGCATAGATTCCATTAAATAGAGCTTAGGAACTGAAAGCTTCAGGAAAACGGTGCCACTGAGGCCGAGATCGACGGCGTCTGGGTTGGAGTGCACAAATGTATAGCCTCCTGTCCCATGTGAATTCCTGTGGCATTCAGCCACACCTGGAGAACACACCTCCATCAGATAAAAGCGACTCTCCCACCAAGCCAAAGCCTGATTTAGATTTTAAATGGAGGTGCAGTAGTGTAAACAAATCTTTGCATATTTTTCTGAGAACTTGTGGATTCTATCCTGATATCAAGGCAGAAAAGTGCTTTAAAGAAACTAAAAATGATTCCCACCTATAAGCATGCAGGATGAATGAAATGATGGCTCTTTTTTACTTGCTCAAATAGCTCAAGAATGATGCAAGCTTTCAAGTTCCACAGAAGTCTTCATCAGGCAAAATATCTGAAAAGTGTGGTGAAGCAGACAGTGACTGACTTGGAACAGGGAGACTTGGGCATGAAGCTCGCTGGGTGACCTTGGGCCAGTCAGACATTCTCAACCTAAAAGACTTTGTAGGGCTGTTGTGAGGGCAGAATGGGATCTGAAGGCAGCTCCGTTTAGGGAAGCTTTTAATGTTTGATATATTACAGTATTTTAATATATATTTTTGGAAGCCGCCCAGAGTGGCTGGGGAAGCCCAGCCAGATGGGCGGGGTATAAATAATAATAATAATAAGGATAAATAGGATAATAGGATAAAATAATAAATACATAGAATAGGTTCTTGCACGTCCAAGTGTGGGATAGTTCTGCAGTCAAGTGTCAGACAGTGGTACCTTGGGTTAAGTACTTAATTCGTTCCAGAGGTCCATTCTTAACCTGAAACCGTTCTTAACCTGAAGCACCACTTTAGCTAATGGGGCCTCCCGCTGCTGCTGCGTTGCCAGAGCACAATTTCTGTTCTCATCCTGAAGCAAAGTTCTTAACCTGAGGTAATATTTCTGGGTTAGTGGAGTCTGTAACCTGAAGCGTATGTAACCTGAAGCATATGTAACCCGAGGTACCACTGTATATTTTATCAGGCACTTGGCTCAATGTGAATTATCTCACTGATTTTCAGGGTCTTTTGCTTTGTGTTTACATGGAACTTATATGAACACTCTTTGAGACCCATTGGCTACCTGCACCTGGTGAAGCTGGCCTGTCAAAGCTGTTTCCTGGGGTGTGGACACTGTCACATGATGACAGCTTCTAGGCGCCATGGGTGAGAGCTGAGTGCAGGGTGGGGAGCAAGGTGAACCAACTACCCAAGAAGGATTTGGTGCCTTCCAGCTGTTTTTGGACTGCAACTCCCATCAGACCCTGCCAGCACAACTGTGCTGGCTGGGCCTGATGGGAGCTGTAGTCCAAAGCACCTGAAAGGTGACAGGTTGGTGAAAGCTGCTGTAGGTCATTTGTAAGTCATTCATGAGCAGTGAGAGGAGGGATAAAAATAGATGCTTCCAGTTCTCTGGATATTAGCCATTGGAGATATTGGGACCATGCAGGCAATTTAGTATAATTAAAGGGTGGAAGCAAAATGAAGATAGCTGAGCTCCCGTCTTTTCCCACTCTCAGTCAATGATTGCTAAATTATTATATGCATTTCAGAAAGCCAAGTTTTTAAGGGTTTATTATAACCTCCCATCCTGATGCAGCTCCCATCCAAGTTAGTAGCATCATTTCCACTAGGAGTTGGCCTTGGCCACACTCCACCAGGAGGTTTTGCTGCACAAGCCCCATTTAAAATGGATTGAAATGCAATAGGACAGCAGCAGAAATAAGATTTGGTAGTACACAGTGCTTTTGGTCTTTGTTTCTTCTCTCTCTTTTTCTTTGTGTGTGTTTGAGTCCAAAGAATCAGAGGAAGCTTTTTAAGAGTGAGTTGGGGACTTCCATTGCATGCGAAGACAGGCTCTGGCAGATTGAGCAGACAACACTAATTGTGGGTCCAATGGTCAAGAAGGCAGTTTCTGCACTTACTGCAGAGGGAAGTGAGGGGCAGATGGGGCTCATCAACCTGGGAAGGTAGCCCATCTAGGAGAAGGAAAACTCTATGACTCTAAATCTCCACTGCCTTGTAGGATATCTTCGGGAGAAGAAAAGGCTAAAGAGTAAACCCTACATAAATCCAGAGTGGAGTCCCTAAGATGGTTGGGTTGTGCCTCATTCTGGCAACTCCTGCAGCCAAGCTGGTGCCCAACATATTGCTCTGCTTTCCTTTGGACCACATCAGGGAGGCTGAGAGGGGGGCCTTGTTGTCTGAGCAGCCCAGGACCTTCATACACACAGTCCAAGCTTGTGCCCCGGGGAGGTAACTTCGAAGCTCCTAACGCAGAGGGTTGGACTTCATCCCTGAAGGCATAATCCATTGTCAATAACAATAACATTACAAAGCGAGAGAGAGAGAGAGAGAGAGAGAGAGAGAGAGAGCGAGACTCTTTTATCCATGAAGCTTTCAAAAGTCTTGCCCGTCCCTTGTTCCACTGTCCAGATCACTTACTGCCACTTCTCTCTTTCTGGTAACCCCAATGCCTGCAGAGTTACTTGCCAGAACTGCCACTGAGAAGGGCCTGTCATGGGTCACCATGAACAAGGCAGTCCTGATTAGGTCCAAGTGGCCTGATCTCTGGAGCATAAGCAAGGAAGAATCTGATGACAAAACAAAATCCAGGACACAATGCACCAGGAACGTCTGTGCAAGAGCCGTTGGGGTCTCTGCACAAGCAACATCCCCCTTCACTTTTGGGTCTATGACTGTGGCATCAAGCAGGGCATCAATCAGACTTCTCAACACAGTCAGAGGCCCTTTTCAATACTGAGTGGCCAGGCTTCAGAAGCCATTTGCAGTGAAGGGAAAGCAACGTGGAAGAAAGTGTTAATTTTTTTATATATATTAAAAAAGAGTCTTTTTAAAAAAGCCATTGTGCCTTTTTTTAATTATTAAAGGGGGGATGGGAGAAGATACTGTCTCATGAGTAGGACTCGGCACTTCAGGGCAGGTAGTTGGAAAGATATATAACTCTATGTCGTTGTTCCTATAGGCACTCACCCCTTGGCCTCCGTCTTTATGACTTTACACCCTGGAGTGGTGTTACAGCTTCCGAACACGCACATATATACTGAGGGTTGGAAGTGCGATCTGCAGATGTTTTATTTATAAGTGGCAGTCCTATTGCATCACGGAAAACATGCATTTACAAAGAGATACAGGTTTTATGAAACCCCATTCTGTTGGTTTAATAGTCAAGCTACCCAGCCATAGAATAATAACAACGCATCAGGTAAATGCATCTCCATCTCTAGAACCTGTTCCAAGTTCTCTCAGATGTGACTAAGTGCAGGAACCTTCCAACCATCAAAAGTTAATAAAAAAAGAGAGAGCGGCAAATTAAGGCAGCCTCAACCATCACTACCCAGAGACAGAATGGACGGTGTGGGGGGGAAATACAAAGTTCCTCCTCACGAAGGTATTTCTGCAATTGCTTAACAGCTCTCTTCAGCAGTAACAGAAATTACTCACATTCAGATTTATAAACATGGTCACATATCTGACAAACGTGATGCCCATGCAGAGGAAGAGTTGCAGAGGGAAGTGGCATCTCTAGGGCCTCAACTAGCACAGCGGCATTTTAGACTTTTTCCTTTTTCACACACACTTTGCTCCTGCTGTATTGAAATCTCCTTTGGAGCATTGTTTCAGGAATGTCCTTGCCTTTGCCACAGGTGAAGCGGCAGCCTTCCGTTGCATTAGACATTTTGGCGGAGACTCTTCTTTTTGCCCAGATCCTGTTTTATTTGTTAATTAATTTCTGTTTTATTCACTTTTATCTGCTTTGATGTGCTTTTATTTGCTGTTTTACTGGTCCTAAATTGTGATTTGGCTTTTGTTTTAATTTTTTTAATGGTGGATTGTTTATTTTTTAGACTGCACACTGCTCAGAGATTTCTAAAACACTAAGCCTTATATAAATGTTTTTCAATCAATAAAAGTGATAAGAGTCCACAGCTGTTTGAGGAATGCAGGCCAAACCCCTGCCCCCCCACCCCGGTGTTCAATTCTGTGGCATTCAGTACAATAGTCTAACATACTTCTACAAAAATTCAATAAAGTTTACTTAAAAAAATAAATAAATCTGTGACTCTTGGCCATGGTTATTTCATTCTGTTGCGAAAACATAACTCATCTTAGCTTCCTCCCAGTTCTCTACTGGGAAAGTAAACGAACCTATTTGACCTATCAAGAAAAAAGGTGATCTATGGGTAAAAGTGTATTGAAGGGATTTTGTATGAATAAAATAAAATAAAATAAAAATGTTTCATTATTATACAAAGTTCAGCATGGGCAGAAACAAAGGGCAATTTAGAAAGGAAAATACCATTAATGAGATTTATTGTTTATGATGTTTCTGCTCTTGCCATTGTATTTAGTGAACTGTTATGCACTGATCATGTCAGAGAGCATGACTGCCAACCTAAAAGCAAAATAAAGGACTTTAAAAAAGGAAAGAAGAAAAAAAAAGGACAAAGGGCAACCTGTAGAAATGAAGACATTCTCTTGGCAATTTGGTGGGGAAGAACATCTACAGTAATGATGAAAAAGTTCCATAGAAACCCCAATATCAGCTTTGCAAAAGGATAGAACCCTGCCAATGTATACTATAAGGGTGGATACAAATTGATAGAAACTACTGTAGAATTCAGTTTAAAAAAGTTTTTTGAAAAAGAAATAATTCAGTAAATTAAAGAAGAAATCTGAGTAATTCCTAATACAGACAGCATCTTGCTTTGATCAAGAGACCTTTCAAACAAAATGTGTCCCATAACCACCGTTATGATTCTGAAACCAAGATAGAAGCTTATGTGCGTTACGCCAACGTCTGCTGGCTGTCAGAGCTGGAAGCAAAATTTAGATTTAATGTTAGTTAACTTATGGAGGAAAAACACCCCCAACAAACTTCTGCATGTCATAAATCAGCAAAACTTTTCTTGTTTGTGTTGTAATGAGAAGGCTGAAGATTTACTTACCATTAACTCTTCAGGGGCTGGGCGTTCCTTTGGCTGCTTTCTCATGCTGTGCAGCAACAACAAAAAAACAGAACTCAGGTTCGGTGTGAAAAAGCACTAGTCATTTATTTCACTATCTTAGAATGCTGAAGATTTATTTTTTTAAAAGTCTCTTATTACAGATGACCAACAGTTAATGAAGAAAACCAACCCCACCCCCACCCTACAGAAAGCTTTATGAATGCACTTGAAATGTCACTGTTTTTCTTTAACTTGACTGCTTCTGCCACCATGAATTAAGGTGGGCACCACTAGGCACTCCGCAATGGAGCCCACACTGCAGCCGGTACTATTTGCAAGGCTAATTTCAGTGGAGGGAGGGGACACAACACTTTGGCAACCCCTGGACCAGCTACCCTTCCTCCCAGTTTGCTTGTTGCTGTGGCACTTCTCACACATTACGTTTTTAGGTGTTCACTTAGATCCTCTTAGGCATACACGTGTGAAATGTGTAGTGCGAGACAAATAGGTGTTATGCAAGTTTACTCACTAGGGGCCTGTGATTGGCCGGATCAGGTTTGCTGCTGTGCAATGTGCTACATGCCCCTCTGCTTCATACAGACATACAGAATTTTATTTGTATGTTGCCTGTCCACGGTTCAAACCATGCTCAGGGCAGTTTATAACACGGGAAAAAAATACATAAATACAATGTAACAAAAGCAGTCATAAACAATAAAGAAAGAGTTAAAAAATACACGACCAAACCGAACAATTTCCATATAAACCACAAGATATAAAATAAAGATATAAAAAAACCCCAGCAACAATCCCCGACTCTCAACAAAACCCCCAAACACCGCAGTTCAAGAGTTTGTTCAGCAGCCTCAGATTTTGTCTCCGTTATCTCCCCATCCAGATCAAGGAAGCAATGGCAACCAACTTATGTCTCCTCCCATGCTAGGGTACTTACCACAATAAGCATTTACATACAGGTGGGATATATATAATAAAATTGTTGTTGTTGTTATTAAGCTTTTAAAAACAATTTGCGCATATTAATACTTCAGGAACTCTTACAACAGCCCTGTGGCGCCAATATTATTATCCCTGTTGGAGGAGGGAGATGGATAGAATAGCAGCCTAAGTTGAGCTGGTGAACCTGTGGTTGCAGTGAGATTTGAACTGGGAGGTTGGAGCCCATCTGGCTTACAGCTCACACTCTTAACCCCTAGGCTACACCAGTTTGTGCAGGTCAACCACTCTTCTAAGAGGTTAAAAAAAGAAGCTATAGCTCAGTGATATAGCAAATTTTTCCCATGCAGAAGATCTCAGGTTCAATCCCTGGTAGCTTCTCCACAGCTGGGACAGATCCCTGCCAGAAACCTTGATCTGCTGCCAGGGTTGAAAATACTGAGCTAGACTGGAGCAATTGTTCTGACTCAACAGAAAGCAGCTTGCTATGTGCCTAAAACATGTAGTATAGCATAGTGTGTGACCTGGGCAGTCCCACCTGCCACAACTTGAGAGCTTGCAGAGAACACAGTGCCCCTTGGAAGATCTATAGTTGCCCTGTGCAGTTTTAATGGCACCAGGCACTGCTGCTGTGTGATCTTCATCTGTTTTAGAAATACCCATGTAGTACAAGCTCCAAAGAACTTAAAGGAGGACAAGTCAGCAGCAGAAGCACTTGGTGGATCGCTCCCCTTGTAACTAATAGCCATGCACAGCCCAACGGAGGCTTGCATTCTTGCAAGCCATTCAAAGCTGCCTTGGCAACCCTCTTAATCTGACATTCCAAAGTAGCTGGATCTCGTGGGAGAACAAGGCTATTATCTGCCATCATTTATGCTTCAGCCTGACATCTGTGGACATTTCTATAGAGGTTAGCCCTCCTCCTGCCTCAATTAAAAATATATAAAAACGATATGTTTTCAGATTAATCTCTGGGAAGAGACAGAAAGGTACAGCCCCCTGCACCTCAGTTAGCAAGAGCAGGATAGATCACCCACAATTATGGCTGCAGCATAAAAACCTAATCTACCCGAAACTGGATCAGTCTTATAATAAACATAAGCCTTGTATTTATTATTTCAATTAACTGTAAAGTCACACTGTTAATTCTTCTGTCAGAACATCATCCTTTGGGACACTCTAGAGAAGGTTCTCTTGTATTAGTGTAAATTCGCATAATCTGAATGTATCCAAATGCCTCTTTGCGTAAGGAGCTGATTCCTGGACACTTCTTTGGTAGTAAATTTGTGGCTGACAATCAAACTTTTATTTCCAAAGAAAAGGGGATTTAGAACCAAGGAACCTTTGGGTGTTTTCTGGGAATCAGTTTTGATGGTGAGTATCCATATATTGTTACACATGGATTCCTATCATAGTAGCTAATGGATGGCCTAATTCTGTGCAGTGTTGAGCATCCTCCTCCATCTCCAGCTTCTGCAACATGTCTGAATCCAAGAGTTCTCATAAAAGAGATCACCTATTCAGTTTGCCAAGAAGCTTAGGGGTTGCGTGCTTGCTTTGCACTGTTGAATTATGTCCATTGACAGTTTTTGTCCAGAAAGTTCATCTTGACAGGATAAAAAAGGCAATTGTTCTCCATTAAACCCAAATCATTTAGACCAAGCTCAATCTCTCTCTCTCATCCTTTATCGCCTGCTTATTAAGCTTTCTCTATAAATGAGACATTAAAACATGCCTTCATTGTAATAGGTTGTACTTAGATCTTTAACCTTTTGGTGCTCAGGAGATTCCTTTTTAAAACTAGATTCCTTTTTTTATATTAAAAAAAAACCCCTAGTTAATTTTAGTGGCCTTCTATTGAATGAGGCAGTTTGTCTGGAAGAAGCAAAACATGCCCTACGGTGTGGTTTAAAATACAGCCCTTACTGAGAAGAGTACCCTCCCAAAGAAGAACTCCATAAAACCACTTCTAAATGAAAAGCCCATGAATTAATCAAGTGCATTGTTTACCCCATTTAAAAAGGTTGCCTGCTTTCCTAAGGAATATGAGAATGCCTGAATAATGGAGTTATAAATATGATTATCTGTCATCCTTATTTTTCCGAGTGATTTAAAACACAAACACACACACGCACACACCAATTCCTTGAGAATACACCCAAGATCCCCAACCGTTTATTAAAACAGGGGCGGGGGGTAAAAACTCTCCCTCTGAAGTGCTTTTATGACCCTTTGTGTAAATAACGTTTACATAATTTAAACAGTTTGCTCAGCTTTGCTGGCCCAGCTGCCCAAGGCCTGCCAAGTCCCTGGCGTCTCTGGGAGGATGCAGGGAAAGCCATAAGGTCCTGTGGTACTGTGGAGTTAATGGCATGTATCATTTACATTGAGGGCACGGCACATTTGCAAACGAAGCTTACCATTGAGTGATGAAGTGTACAAACGGCTCTGAGAACTCCCCAACCGGAAGGACAGGCGATTCCTGCAATTGAGTTTGGATTGGGCAGGTGGGGGCAATGGGGGGAGGCGGGAGAGAAAGGAGGGAGACAACAACAACAACATCAGAAAGTGAAAGTGCAATTTGTTAATTGTATAGTTGATTTCAGATGGAAAGCAAGCAGGGGATGATGTTGATTTCAAATACCAGACTGTGTACGTGTGGGGAGAGAGAGGGTGAAGCCGTGAGAATGTGTCAGAAATCCTGCATTTAGAAGTAATGAGTGTTATACAACGGGTAAGAATACGTAGAAATAAGACCAAGGGGAGGTAAAAAGGGACAATGATAGCCACGGGGCAGAAAAGAAGGTAGGGAAAGTGTAAATGAGAAATTAATGATTATTTAAGTAACACCCAAATGGTCTTGTAATTAACAAAGAGCTGGGAAATTATTCTTGTGTTGACCTTTGCTTCCTGCATCATAGTTGCTATTTATTTACACTTAGCAATCTCAAATCTTGTTAGAGTTAAGCAGGAGAGGCCAGGGGGGTATATGGAGAACTAAATAAAAAAATTAAAAAATAGTAAATTGCAAGTTGAGCCAACGAACAACAAATCTATCAAAACACAAGGCTAACAAATGCATTTTAAAAAACTCAAGAAACATCCGTATTATTTTTCAAAGAGGAATATTTCACCAGCAAAATAGGGATTTACAAATTGAGGAGAGTTTCTGCCATCTCTCCCCCCCCCCGCCCCCCCCAAAATGACAGAGAGACTTGCCAGTGTTTATAGTGTAACAGCTCAGGATGTAATGAAATTGCACTGCGGAGTACTTTAACAGTCATCTCATTAGACCTACAGTTGGAACAAGAGAACCACATAAAACAGGAGTCAGCTGCAAATGACTCCGTTCTCATCTATTCTCATTTGCTATTAAAAATACCTTTCGGCAGCTTTTGCCACCGTTTCCCCCACCCCCCACAACCTCCCCCCACCCCGTCCCTGAGTGCTTTGCAAAGTATGATGCATGCACCTATTTAAATTAACAAAGGAATGACTTATTTTAATCTTGCCGTGCTTTGGAGTGCTTTGGCCATTTGCAAGAGTCATATATCATCACATACAACCTTCCAGTGCTGCAGGCAAGAAACTCAGAGCGTGCAGCATTTGGTGGGAGCCAAACAATTTCTCTCGCACACAACTGTGTCAAATGCATGTGTGGGGTTCATTATGGAGGGTTGCGAGGGAAATAGCTTTGATGTGGTGCGGGAAGGAGGGGTGGGGGGAATTAAAAAAAAAGAAGAAGAAACAGAAGAAGAGGAGAGGAGATGATGATGATGATAAAAGCCAGCTTCACAATACATGCGCACATATCATTATCAATGGCGGCAGGGAGAAGCGACCACCGAGCTGCTGACGTGATTAGTAAATATACATATAATTGCGGCGGCCAATTATCAGAAAAATGAGAGTGGTAATTACAAGACAGAAAATTAACTAGAACTCTTATTAAGGCTTTGTTTCCGATTCAAACAATCGGAAATTGCAGCAAAATACAATTAAATCAAAAGTAACTGAAGAGTAAAAGGCGACAGCGTTCTGAGGGGCTGCCTTTGACACACACTTTTGAGGATTCTGCCATGTGGGGAGGGCAACTTTGAACCTGGCAGCTGAATGAGTCGCAGAAGGTACAGCTGCCACTTGTATCTCGTGGCTCTTGCTAACACCACCACCAGAAAGAGGCTTCGCAAAAGAAGCACATGCAGGTGTCACTTATTCAGCAAGGATGACAAGCCGTCATGGCGCAGGTCAAGCGTGCAAAGCCCGTTACGTACTTTCTTTCAGGAATCTTGCTAACAGCCCTGTCAGGTAGAACGATGTCACCGTTCTCACATTGCAGGTGTGTTTGTGGGGGGGTGTCAGGACTTGGGTCCAGAGTGGGTATTGGGCTAGAGACCGAGCCCGGAGGGGCGAGGAGTGGTCTTGGCTGAGAATCTGCCTGCGCACCACCGCCCGCTTCTGGCCGAAGGAGGGAACTGCAAGCCTTTTTCAACCCACAGTGCAGAGGTGTTCCTTGTAAAAGGTGAATGCACCAGGTCAGGCTAACTTTCTGGTCTGGGCTAAGCAACAAGGGGGAGACCTGCGTTTGCTGACTGCAGACCACTTTGCCAAACCCACGAACCCTGAGAAGGAGAGAGAGCACTGGCTTGGTTTAACTCAGTGAGAGCTTGAGGCCGAAGCAAGATTTGAACTGCAGACTTTGGCAGAAGTGTGAGTTACGAAAGTGGTGGTTAATAAGAAGGGAGGAGTCCACCACACAAATTAGCCTTACTTCCATGAATTTGTCTATCAATGGCTACTAAGCTTGATCGCTATGTTCTACCTCCACTGTCAGAGGCAGTATATTTCTGGAAACTGAAGGAGGGGAGAGTGCTGTTTCGCTCAGGTCCTGCTTGCTACCTACTGGGGCATCTGGTTGGCCACTGTGAGAACCGGATGCTGGACTAAATGGGCCTCCTTTGGGTTGCTGCGGACCTTTCCTTACATTCTTATGTTAAGGTCCTCCAAAAGCCCCGCACCAGCTCTCCATGATATACCAGTTTGCTTCCTTTCTTTTACCCAGCCTCAACTTTGAGAGGCTGATCCTGGGGGCAGCCCAAGTTACGGCATTAAAAAAGAGAGAGAAAGGGAGTAGAAGAAAAGAGAGAAGAAAAACCAACCCAAGCGCTTCGTATATCTCCAGTTTTGAGTACAGAGAAGGGCAAGGGGGGGGGGGAGAGGGATGTTTTGAGTGATGCCTTTGCCTTGTGAATAATGAACAGTTCAGGAAGGTCAACCCATTACAACAGAAGCTGTTTAATTATTAATTATGCCCAATCTATGAGCAAAAGGACAAGTTCAGAATGTTTAATATGTGGTAAACCCCAAACAGGCCCTCACTT